GTCTGGTCCTGTGGCATAGAGCCCTGCGCCTTTCCCAGGGTGGATGAGAAACTGATAGCAACTGTGAAGGGGAGAGGTGGCCCCTCCCAGAGAGAAGGACCTGGCCTCCCCTTCATCCCTGACCCCCAACCCCCCACTGAGTCTTCTCCCCCCCCTTCCTCTCCCCCTCCTTTTCTCTTCAATCTCTCTCTTTCTCTCCCTCTCCTCTTTCTCTCTCCCTCCTCCCCTCTCATCTCTCCCCCACAAAACCATCTCTTTTCTTGAGGCTGGGCGTCAAATAGCCCAGGCTGGCCTCAAACACTCCGTAGCTGAGAATGACCTTGAACTCCCCATCCTGCCTCGTGCTTCAACACGCTTGGTTATTTTAACTTTTGTTTTCTTCAGTGAAACTGAGACGGACCCTGAACTCCAAGGCTGACGAAGAGAGGCCTCTTGAACCCCAGTCTTCCAACTCAGGGGCTTGCGATGGACCTCAGGCGCCCGAGGAGGCTTCCTGTTGTGGGACTCCGGTACAGTTGCCGTGGAGACCTGCGCTAGGCCAGGAGGTCGTGCTGCAGATGCGGAAGGGAGAGGTCTAGATGAGCGCGCTCTTCCTCCCGCGCTGCAGCTCCCGGGACACTCCGCAACCCACGCCCAGCCGCCTGGGCATTCCTAAGGAATTTCCACGGGGATCTTTTGATCTTGGGGGGCTGGAGAGGAGGCATTCAGTCTCCGCCCCGGAACTACCGTGGCAGAGTTGCCAGGGTGACCTCAGGGAGGTCTGGGAAAAACCCTCGGAGTGGATCTTTCTCTGGGTATCACTAAGTCTTTTGGCCCCTACTTCATGTGCATGAGCCTCCAGCTCTCTACGGTACCATCTGCAGCCCTAAGAGTATGGTTGTTTAAGTGATACCTACTGTGTGCAGGGCACCATTGTTCCCTGAGCAGAATATTGGAAAATCCTGCTGGGATGCTCAGCTCAGTGGTAACAAGCAGAACACAACTCTACTGTGACAGAAAAGTTCAACAGTGTAGAGCAGCCTGTAACTGCGATACTCAGGGGCAAGAAAGCTGATTGAGGTCAGCCTCGTTACACCATGAGCTAAAGGCCAGTGTAGCGAGCTGCGTGGTATCACACCCGATGGAGATGTATAATCAACTCCTGAGATGGCTAAGGCCTGACCTATGCTATGATCACGCAATGATCATCAGCTGCTTGCATATGCGTGGGCCTATGGGCAGTGCCCACCTGGCAATCTGGGATTGGCAGCCCATGCCTACTTAAGGGCTGGGAGAGGTTTGCCAAGAGAGAGGAGAGAGGAGAGAAGGAGATAGATTGCTGTAAATAAAGTCCTGAAAACTGCTGCAAGAAGAGCTCCGGGTGTTAACGTTTTTCCTTGCTGGACGAGATGGGGCGTGACAGGCCAGTCCCACACGAGTCTGTTTTTTAAACGCCATCAACTGGGGACTGGAGTGGTGGTTTAGCAGTTAAGAGCAAGTGCTCTTACAGAGCACCCTGGTTCAATTCCTATCACCCACACAGCAGCTTACAACCATCTGTAATGCCAGCTGTAGGGGTCCATCTGATGTTCTCATCTGACCGCCCAGGGCACTGGCAGAAACACACACACATAGGTTTAGGCTGAAGAGATGGCTCAGCAGTTGATGATCCAAGCTCAGTTCCCAGTGCGTCAAGCAGCAAGCATGCATGTGGCACACATGCAGGCAAAGCATTCACATATGAAATACAATCAAATACAATAATCTTCCTGTTTTAACCATCACAAAGCCTTGGGTCAGTGTGGTGGCACAGACCTATCAGTCCCAGCACTCAGGAGGCAGAGGAAGGCAGCCCTCTGAGTTCGAGTCCAGCCTGGTCTATAGAGCAAGTTCCAGAATATCCAGGGCTACACAGAGAAACCCTGTAATGACAAAACAGGTGTGAGTGTGGAGAGACAGCGCAGCGGTTAAGAGCACTGGCTGCTCTTCCAGAGGTCCTCTGTTCAATTCCCTGCAACCTCACAGTGGCTCACAACCATATAGGAGATCTGGTGCCCTCTTTTGGTAGGTCTGTGCAGACAAGAGCATAAAAACAAAAAAATCCAGGGCGGTGGTGGCATAAGCCTTTAATCCCAGCACTGGGGAGGCAGAGACAGGCGGATTTCTATGACTTCAAAGTCAGCCTGGTCTACAAGAGTGAGTACCAGGATAGCCGAGGCTAAAAGAAACCCTATCTCGGGGTAGGGGGCATGGTTAGAGGCTAATCTGGTATATATGTGACCTTGCCTGTGTAGTCCACCGAACATCTCTTGGGTTTAGATCTATTCCCAGGCTAGACCCACTGGATTTGTTGAGGTTTGTGGGTAGGGCCAAGGGCAATTCCTGGGTCCTGGTCTGAAATCCTGGGAGGCCATTTGCCGAGGTGGGGACGGGAACGTACTTCGGAGTAGCACATTCTACAATTACATTCTTTTGTAGTTTCCTTCCCTGTGCTGTGCCTCAGTCTGCAGGAAAGGCACGACTTCCTCCCTGGTGCTAATGGTCTCACACAAACTAAGGAATGTACTGAAGCTTCCAGCCTTAGTCGAGTTCTGCTGGGGACACCTTGCAGTTCCCTCAGCCTGCCATGCTTTCCCAGTCACCCCAACACGGCTTGTCCTCCTACCTGGAGCCTGAGCCACCCCAGCTTCTTCTCCCCAGCTCTGGTGCTTTGTTTTTTTTTTTAAGACAGTCTCATTTCTAGGGACAGCACTGCTTTCTTAGGATGCCTTTTGTCTCCAGTGTGGCGTGACTAGTTCTGGCCTTGTGGAAACCCTGTGGGTGGTGGTGGGTCTTACTGCTTCCTCAAAGTTCTAACATAGGAACTGCATCTGTGTCAAAGTAAAACTATCCCCTTAGGCTGGAACACTCCAGCTCAGACCCTCTAACTGTAGTAGTGGCCAGTACACACAGGGTGAACATTAGCATACCTATAACTTATTCCAGTGGCTTGTTCAGTGGGATTGGGGCACGTGATGTTGTTTGAGACATGGTTTCTCTGTGTAACAAGCCCTGGCTGTCCTAGAACTTGCTCTGTAGACCAGGCTGTCTCTGTGTCCTGAGTGCTGGGGTTAAAGGCTTGTACCACCACGTCCCAGCATTGTTTAGTGTTTTTGAAAAAGGGTCTGTGGTAGCCCTTCAACTTATGTAGCCAAGAGTGACTTTTCCAACCTTGCGTCCTGTTTCTGCCTCAAGTGCTGGACACTTAACAGGTGTGTGCCACCATGTCTGCCTGCCCTTACTATGTAGCCCAGGCTATCCTTAAAATTGTAGTCCTCCACCCTCAGCCTCTCAAAAGTGCTACGCTGCAGCATACCACGCAGGCTTCTATTTTTCTAGTAACATCAACACATCCCAAGGTTACTTTTAGCCAGAAAAGGGCTGGCAGTCTCAGTATGTACATATACCAACAGAAAGAAGTCCTAGTCAACGTTGGTCCTAGTTTAGAGACAGTGCTGACCGTTCTTTGTGGGAACCTGCCCACTCTCTGGGAGTTCTTTCTCATTTTTCTTTTTTAGATGATTTGTGTGAAGTGTTGTTTTGCCTGCATGTGTGTGAGGGTGTGACCCCTTGCAACTTGAGTTAACAGACAGTTGTGAGCTGTCATGTGGGTGCTAAGAATTGAACCTGGTCCTCTGCAAGAACAGCCAGTGCTGTTAACAGCTGAGCCACCTCTCCAGTCCTCATTTTTCCTTTATAAACCTATGTTCACTGGGTGGTGGTGGCGGCACACGGCTTTAATCCCAGCACTCCGGGAGGCAGAGACAGGCAGATCTCTGTGAGTTTGAGGCCAGCCTGGTCTACAGAGCTAGTTCCAGGACAGCCAGGTCTGTTACACAGAGAAACCCCGTCTTGAAAACCAAAAAATAAACAAATAAACCTATGTTTCTCTGCTAAAAATAAGTAAAACAAAACAAATCAGGCAAGTCTTTATACTAGGGATATACAGCCCTACCTGGAAACTCAGTGAGGGGCAGAGGATTAGCTTAGAGTGCCCATCTAGACACAAGACCACAGGGAAAAAAATTTTTTATGCCCTTTTAATTTACTTTATGTCCTCTGTCTACATGTCTTTTTTTCAAAAAAAAAAAATTATTTATTGATTATGCATACAACATTCTGTGTGCATGTCTGCAGGCCAGAAGAGGGCACCAGACCTCATTACAGATGGTTGTGAGCCACCATGTGGTTGCTGGGAATTGAACTCAGGACCTTTGGAAGAACAGGCAATGCTCTTAACCTCTGAGCCATCTCTCCAACCCCCTCTGTCTACATGTCTATGTATTGTTTGTGCCTTATGCCAGCTCCTTCTGGAACTGGAGTTGAAGATGGCAGTGGGCTGCCATGCGGGTATTGGGACTCCAAGTCTGGTCTTCTGGGAGAGCAGCCAGTGCTCCTCACTGCCACGCCATTGATCTCTCCAGCCCACAATTTTTATTATTATTTTTTAATTTTTTTTTGGTTTTTCGAGACAGGGTTTCTCTGTGGTTTTGGAGCCTGTCCTGGAACTAGCTCTTGTAGACCAGGCTGGTCTCGAACTCACAGAGATCCACCTGCCTCTGCCTCCCGGAGTGCTGGGATTGTACCACCACCGCCCGGCCTTCAGCCCACAATTTTTAAACAAAAACAAAAAACTGAGAATATATCCGAGTGGTGGCGCACGCCTTTAATCCCAGCACTTGGAAGGCAGAGGCAGGTGGATCTCTGTGAATTCAAGGCCAGCCTGATCTAGAGAGTAAGACAGCCATGGTTATCCAGAGAAACCTTTTTTTTTTTTAAAGATTTATTTATTAGATATACTGTATTCTGTACCAGATCTCATTACATATGGTTGTGAGCCACCGTGTGGTTGCTGGGAATTGAACTCAGGACCTTCGGAAGAACAGGCAGTGCTCCTAACCTCTGAGCCATCACTCCAGCCCCCAAGAGAAACCCTGTCTTGACAAACAAAAATAAAAAGCAAAACTGGGAATACCGGCATGTTGTCTTTAAACAGGTTTTTTGTTTTATCACAAGAACACACGACACTGGTTTGTCTGATTCTGTGCCTGAGGAAAGCTGTCAGAGGAAGCCTGTATGGCACACAGCTGGCAGAGCCTCCAGAGGTGAATGCAGGCTGCTGGCTTGGCATCCGTGCACGTTCCCAGCATCTGCCTCAGCAGGAAGAAGCTCCTCCTGACATTGTACTGTAATATACATTACATAGGATGTATCCATATATGCTGGGCATCCATATATGCTGGGCATCCATAGGAGCAGGATGTGAGCCCTGGAGGGGGCTCTTAGGTGCCCAGCGCTGGATTAACAGCCTAAGCACTGACAGACCCCACACGCAGTGACAGCTCCATTCCCAAGTCTTGTCAACAATAGGGTTTACTTTTAATGTGGCAAGAGATCCCCAGGAGGCACTCGTCTTGGCTCCTGGCACCAGGACCCAGCAGCTTCCAGGGAACAGCTTTTTTGAAGGACAGATGATGTGCTGACCTGGTCCCCAAGTGAGGTGGGCCTCTAGGTGCCCAGGGCAGGGTCAGGGGAAGTCATTGTAGGGCAAGCGGAAGGGGTAGAGCGGAGTGTATCTTGAATCCTGCCAGAGTAGCTTGTCCTCCAGGAAGGCGATGGAAGGCAGGGTGAGGACCAGAGTCTGGTGTTTGAGCATGCTGTACACATTCAGGCCTGGGATGTGAGCGCACAGTCAGGGTGTGGCTGTCTTCTAGTTCAGACCAAGTCCCTCTTATCTGAAGCCTGAGCCCCTGCTCTCCTCTAGGGTATACTGCTAGTCTTTAGGTCCCACTGAAAAAGGAACTGAGGAACTACCTGCCTTTACATCAGCCCAGTATTTGACTGTGACCCCCCCCCCATGCCACATTCCAATGAGGAGGACCCGGGGAAGTGGATGAACACACTGTATCACTGGAAGACCAGGATCAGCAGGCACCGTGTGAGGAAAAGAAAAGGACAGGGGAAACCAGCTCTCACCCAGGTGCTCATGCTTGCCCCCTGCAGGCTATGTGTGGAAGAGACTTTAGCAGATAATGACCTCCCAGGGCTTCTTTCAGTTGGGGCAGCTGAAGGATGGAGGAGTGGACAGGAGGCCCTGGGTCCTGGCTTCCACCCCAGCACCAAAACTAAATGGTAAATTCTTAGGCATGACACTCAGTCATGGTGTGACTGTACAGGGTTTGAACTGCCCAAAAATAACAGTGGAATCTGTGCTAGTTTGCGCCAAGGTTCCCAGGTGAGGGCTTGTGGGGTGAGGGCTGGGCCCATCACTCACCAACTGCAGGGATCAAGTTGAAGCTCTTGAGCCTGGAGGTGGCTTCCACAACATTCTTGGGCATCTCTTCATGTGTCCTGGAACACATGGATGCTAAGAAGGTAAGTCTGGCAAGGCAGAACACAAGAGACTTGGCCCCTACTTCCCCACCCTGCCCTGTGCCCTCACAAGTCTACAAGGAGCACAGAACTCCCCCAGTGGCGGTACTGGGCCAGCTCTGTCAGGTACTGAGGGTCTGCAGTGGGCAGTTCCAGAGAATCCACGATGTGAAGGTCATCCTATGGAGAGAGAGAATTTTGGGCTGTCCTAGGACCACCAGGCGCCAGCTGTTTTCCCACCCAGCTGTACTGGATCATACCTGCATCAGCTTGACAGTCAAGGCCACCTTGAGGCCCAGTGCCCTCACTTTCATGGGCAACATGTAGTAATAACTTGTAGGGCCTCGGGGACCATGGGCTACGCCTCCTGCAGGGACAGTGTGGCATGTGAACAGGTGCTGGTCACTGCTGGGCTGGGAGGTCAGAAATCAGCCTGATGCTTGAGACAGAGTGGTGGAATGGGCAATAAACAGGAGCTGGAGGAGCTGGGAAGGACAAGAAAGACTGGAGAGGGGAGGAGGGTCTGTGGATATGCACGAAGATAGTCATCCAACTCTAGTACAAGACACTGAAGGAGAATAAGAGACCAGCTTGGGATACACAGCAAGACCCAGCCTCAAAAGAAAAAAATACACGACCGCATTATCAAAGGAGGTGAGGGCTGTAGCTCAGAGAGGGCCTGCCTAGTGTGCACACAACCTTGGGTTCCACCCCCAGCACTGCATCAACAGGCTTGGTGGTGCAGGGCTCAGATCTCTGTGCCTCATGCTCAGCATGCCTTAGTGCAGTGTCACCTGTCCCAGTGGGCTAAGAAGCTGGGGACTCACGTGTCCCTTGTCATGGGAGTTGTGGGCATCTGGGACTCCCTCCCAACGGGGCACCACTCACCTCCCCGCCATATGGGGGAACGGATGCTGCCATGCCGGGCACGGCCACTGCCTTTCTGTTGCCAGGGCTTGCGGCCACCACCACTCACCTCAGCCCTGGTCTTGGTCTTAGCATAGCTCTGTGAGTACAAGAGTGGGTGAGGTTCAGACAAATGGCAGCAAAGACTGTCTTAGGGAGGCAATGGGGGAGGAAAGGGACCTTGTTCACAGAGCACCTGACGTTTCTGTGTGCTAGCTTGCTGGGCTGAGACCCAGGCCTCCCCACACAGCCCCAGACTCTATGTTCAATTTCTCTCCTCGGCTGCGGCAATGCTGCAATTACAGGCTCGGGCCATCACATCTGACTCCCTTGTTGACTCCTGAATGTTCTCGGCACAAAACTCTTGCCTCTCACCGACAAAGTGATAATACTAGGCTGTGTGGTTCTTTCCAGAGTATTCAGGCATGCAGTCCCCACTAACCTCACTCCAGCTGCACTGCCTGTCAGGTTAGTCAGACTATAGGTAGAGTACGTAAATGTCCCTTTATGGCTGGAGCATGGCTCAGCAGTAGAGTACCTGTCTAGAAACTCTAATGAGGGGCTGGTGACGTAGCAAGTGAGGCGGTGGTGGATTATTAACAGAGAAACTGCCCACCCAACCTTTGAGGCTCTAGGTCCATCACCCAGTACACAGCACCGAGGACCTCTCTCTAGAGAGGTGATGTGCACCCAGTCTAACTACTGATTCTGTTCACCTCTCCCACTAGCCTGAGTCCTCGGGGCAGGAGTCTGCTGCGCTGCAGACCCGCTAATGTAACACCCACAATGATGGGTACTGAGGTATGACCTGAGAAGTGACCTCCTCTGAATGGCACAGGCAGACAAGGCCTGAGCCAGGCTGTTTCCAGAGTTCACACTCGCACACCTCTGAGTCCAGTGGGCTCTGCCCAGCTACTCAGGACACTCACGATTCTCTTGAAGTTCTTCTGCCAGACGGCAACCTGGTGCAGAACATCCAGCCTGGAAAAAGGGAAGGGAGACCTAAGAGGGACACCCCAATTGAGACTCTCCCACACCTGCACCCCAGTAAAGGGATCCTGGGTGTTCCTTCAGGTGTTCAGGACTCTGTCTTCTACTCTGTGACAACCACAGCTGACACCGCCTCAACTCAAGCCCATCAATGTGCCACGGAGCCCAGTCAGGCTTGGTGGCTATGCCTCCTGGTACTCAAGAGGCTAAGGCAACAAGATGGAAAGCTAAAGGCCTGGCTGTGCTTGATGGTAAGACTCCATCTCCCGCCGGGTGGTGGTGGCGCATGCCTTTAATCCCAGCACTCGGGAGGCAGAGGCAGGAGGATCTCTGTGGGTGCTGGGATTAAAGGTGTGCGCCACCACCACCCGACTCAAATATATATATATATTTGGTTTTTCGAGACAGGGTTTTTCTGTGGTTTTGGAGCCTGTCCTGAAACTAGCTCTGTAGACCAGGCTGCCAACTCAAATATTTTTTAAGCAAACAAAACCAACATATAATACAGAACTCTTAAATAAAGGTGAGATTTACTGGCATTATAGATGTGTCTCTGTGTGTGTCAGAGGACAATCCTAGGTATTGGTTTTCTTGTTTGCTGATGTTAATACCAGGCTACTGGCCTTGGAGCTTACTCCTGGGCACACTCCTGTGTCCACCTTCCATATGTGAGCAGGAGTGCTGGATTACACACATATTCCACCACACTTGACTTTGTGTGGGTTCTAAGGGTTAAACTCAGACTCGTGTGCAGGTGCTCTGCCTACTGACCCGGCTCCCCAGCCCTGCAGTAAGCCTGGTAAGTCACTAAGTATCCATCACTGACTGTGCTTCCAGCCACATGCTACTAGTGTCCACTGAGGGCAATGTGGTGGGAAGAGCAATCTGTGGGCAACTGATACAGCTCAGTGGGTAGAGGCACTTGCAGCGAAGCCAGACACACGATGAAAAGAGAAAATCAATTCCCATAAGTTGTCCCCTCAGTGCCATACATGCACTGTGGCACACGTCTGTCGTTCCCCCCAAAAAAGGGAAAAAAAATGAAAAGCCCCAAGTTCATCATGGAGATGGTAGGAAGTTGCAGCCTGGCCTGACAGTACACACCTTTAATCCCAGCACTAGGGAGGCAGACAGGAGGGTCTCTGGGTTCACGGTCTACTTGGTGAATTCCAGGACAGCCAGAATATACAGAGACCCAGGAAAACAACAACAAAAGAAGCCAGTGGTGGGGGAGGCAGCTCTTCCTACAGTATCTCACCTAGATATTTCTCTACAATCTTAAGATTTACTTTATACATGCACGTGTCTCCTGCCTGCATATATAAGTATATATGTACATCACATGATTGTTTGCCTGATGCGCACATATCCAGGAGTGAGCACAGCTTCAAACTACAGTTAGACGGTGCAAAAATTCCGTTTCAGCCTTTCCCATGCCAGTATTACATTACAGGCACATGCCAACAAATCCGGCCTTTTTTCGAGACATGGATCCTTTGTAGTACTGGCTTTCCTGGAGCTCAATCTGTTGATCAGGCTGGCCTCAAACTCACAGAGATCCCCCTGCCTCTGCCTCCCGAATGCTGGATTAAAGGCGTGTACCACCACCACCCGGCTAAGTCTGGCCTCCTTCTCAGCCATTTTTGAAAACGTTAATTCAAGTCAACGATACTTAGCATTTTTATTTTTACTTATGGCGTCACATAGCTCAGGCTGGCCCAGGACTCACCCTGACTATTAATTTCTCTACGCTCCTATCTCCACCTCCACTGTGCTGGGATTAGAGGTGTGGGTTCCTATGACGGCTGTGTAGAATAGTGGAAGAGAGCCCAGGGCCTCGTGCCCAGCTGGAGCACTTGCTGCTCTAAAGTCAACGTTTCTAGAGAACTTCGTGTGTGCAAATTTAATCTACCCAGTCATCACCCCACTTCCTGAGTTCTGAGAAAAGGGGGACCCAGCACCAGAGAGTACGGCAGGATTTAACAGCCCAAGGTGTTTGTTGGGTTACGTACGTCCTTTGTCCTTCCGCCCTGTGGCAGTTAAACCGAGGCAAAGCCCTCCCACGGCAGCCTGCACTCACCGGGGCGCCGTGGCAAACACATCCGGGTGCAGCTCCGCCAGGCCGACCCGCTCCTGCTCGAAGCCACGCAGCGACTCGACCCAGGCCTGCACGGGGCGCCGGTGCGCGGGGACCCGGAGCTCGCATTTGCGCAACACGGGACTTAGGAGACCTGGGGGTCGGGGAATGAATGAACACGGGTCAGGAACAAAAATCAACACTTCCGCTGCATCCTCCCAACTCTGTGCCAAGCTGTGATCCCGGCCGCCTCACCCGCGCTATCCCCCGGCTCCGAGCTCTCGGTTGGCCGTGCCGAGTGCTCCGCTAGCGAGGTGAGGACCTGGAAAACGAGGAGCGTTTATTTAGAAGTGCTCCCTGAGAGTTCACAACCTTGCACCTCCGACCCTGACCTCAGCTGGGCGCCCTACCCGGGAGCCAGAGGGTCGATGCCAGGCCTGCGAAGCAGCCCGAAACAATCGCAGCATCGCGGGTCAAATCGCAGAGTGGAGATCCCGAGCCCCAAGGAGGCTTGCGGCCAGTGATGATGACGTCAGGCCGCGCTGCCAGACGTCACGAACGCGACTCCGCGGCCCTCGGCTCTAGAACGCGCAGTTTTGCTGATGCCCGTGAGCGCCACTGACGCCAGAAGCCCCGCCCCTAGGGACGCGGCGCTGGGAGTTAACCAATGAGGTTCACTTGAATGTTAATCTTTTGACTGACTTTGGACAAGACTTCCTGCCACGCTCCTTATGTTTTGACAGCTTTTTCAGCGTCTAACTTAACCCCGTCTTACCGTTACCGTTGTTGGTATAAACTGGTGTTTGTCTTTCAGAGTCAGGCTCACTATGTAGCCCAGGGTGGTCTCGAACTCAGAGAGCCACCTGATTTTGCTTCCTAAATGCTGAGATTAAAGATGTGTGCCAGACTGGGTGTAGTGTTGCACTCCTTTAATCCAGGCAGATCTTTGTGAGTTCGAGGCCAGCCGGTCTGTGTCGTAAATTCCAGGACAGTGAGAATGAGAAAATTAGAGAAAATAAAATTTCTGGAAAACTAGACAAAATAAAACAAACAAAAAGAGCGTGTGCCTCGACATCTACGTCTATTATTTCCTTTTCCGAGTACATTTTAACTTTTTAAATTTCTTTTTTGGGGAGTATATGTGTGTAGGTCAGGATTACTAAAGGAGTTGGAGCTTTCCTTCTACCTTGTGGATTGAATTTAGGTCCTTGGTTTGGCAGCAAGACGTCTAACCTGTTGAGCTATCTGAAAAGCATCTTTTTTTCCTCCCTTAAACAACCAGGCCAACCTTGAGTTGAGAGTCTAGCTCTCTCAGTTTCTTTTTTTTTTAAATTATTTATTTATTTATTTATTATATATACAATATTCTGTCTGTGTGTATGCTTAAAGGCCAGAAGAGGGCACCAGACCTCATTACAGATGGTTGTGAGCCACCATGTGGTTGCTGGGAATTGAACTCAAGACCTTTGGAAGAGCAGGCAATGCTCTTAACCACTGAGCCACCTCTCCAGCCCTCTCTCAGTTTCTGTAGTGCTGGATTTTATATGCCCACCCCGCACCTTTTGGGTGTGATAGGATCTGACGTTGCCCAGGCTGTCCTTGAATTCTGGGTAGTCAAGGATAACTTGGAGCTCCTGATTCTCAGGCCTCCACCTCCTCTTTTCAAACCGAAAGACTCCAGGCAGAAAGCTTTCAGTATTTCTTTTTCTTCCTCTTTCTTTTAATTAGTTTTTATTTTATGTGTGTGGGTGTTTTGCTTGCAAGTATGTCAGTATTTGTTTGGTTGTGACCCTTGAAGTCTAGAAGAAGGTATCAGATCCCCTGGATCTGAAGCTATGATATGGACATCTCTGTCATGTGGGTGCTGGGAACCGAACCCAGGTCCTCTAAAAGAAGCCAGTGCTCTTAACTGCTGAGCCAGCCCTTCCGCCCACTTTCAGTATTTCTTAGGCCTACTTAGATTCCAGGGCTCCCCCGATATCTAATCCTGCCCCTCCACCTTCCAGGACTCTCCCACGACAGAAATAAGTCACTGGATGAACAGATCTGAATCGCTTCACTAAGGTCCTCTCCAAGCTTATGGTATTGTCTCTGTTCCGCACTTGACCTGAAGAGGGCGCTAAGAGCTCACACATGGCTCACTGCCAGCCGCTGTGAGGTCTGGACAGAACTTAGAACTGGAACAAGTGATCTCTGGGCCAAACACCTTTCCATCTCCTGAATAATGGGGAAATGCTGAGACTTTAGTGAAATGAGGGATACCAAGGGTGGAATTCTTTTTTTAAAATCTTTTTGTCTTTTTTTTTTTTGCTTTTTTTCCCATGATATTTATTGAGCTCTACATTTTTCTCTGCTCCCCTCCCTGCCTCTCCCCTCCTCCCTTCAGCTTTCCCCCAAGGTCCCCAAGCTCCCAATTTACTCAGGAGATCTTGTCTTTTTATACTTAGTGTCCTCATGGTTTTCTAAGTTCTCTGGGATTGTGGTTTGTAGGTTGGTTTTCTTTGCTTTATGTTTAAAAACCACCTATGAGTGAGTACATGTGATAATTGTCTTTTTGTGTCTGGGTTACCTCATTCAAGATAATGTTTTCTAGTTCCATCCATTTTCCTGCAAAATTCAAGCTGTCATTATTTTTTTTTCTGTTGTGTGGTACTCCATTGTGTAAATGTACCACATTTTCCTTATCCATTCTTTGATCAAGGGGCATTTAGGTTGTTTCCAGGTTCTGGCTATGACAAACAAAGCTGCTATGAACATAGTTGAGCACATGTCCTTGTGGCACGATTGAGCATCCTTTGGATATATATCTAAAAGTAGTATTGCTGGGTCTTGAGGAAAGTTGTTTCCTAATTTTCTGAGAAATTGCCGCACTGACATCCAAAGGGGCTGCACCAGCTTGCATTCCCACCAGCAATGCAGAAGTGTTCCCTTTTCCCCACAGCCTTGCCAGCATACTCGTCATCAGTGTTTTATATCTTGGCCATTCTTGCAGATACAAGATGAAATCTCAGAGTTGTTTTGATTTGCATTTCTCTGATGACTAAGGATGTTGAACATTTCCTTAAGTGTCTTTCAACCATTTTAGATTCCTCTGTTGAGAGTTCTCTGTTTAGGTCTGTACTCCATTTTTTTATTGGATTATGTGATCTTTTGGTGTCCAATTTCTTGAGTTCTTTGTATATGTTGGAAATCAGACCTCTGTCTTATGTGGGGTTAGTGAAGATCTTTTCCCATTCTTTAGGCTGTCATTTTGTCTTATTGACCGTGTCCTTTGCTTTACAGAAGCTTTTCAGTTTCAGGAGGTCCCATTTATTAATTGTTTCTCTCAGTGTCTGTGCTGCTGGGGTTCTATTTAGGAAGTGGTTCCCTGTGCCAAAGCATTCAAGTGTACTTCCCAAGGGTGGAATTCTTGGGATGAGATGAAAACTCAGTAACCAGCATTAGTGATTCTAATACTTAGAGGCCTTGTGATCAGAGACAAAAGATCAAGACAGAGGCAGGTGGATCTCAGTGTGTTCAAGCCACCTTGGTCTACTTAGCGAGTTCCAGGCCAGTTAGGGCTACACACAGAGACTCTGTCTCAAACAATACAAAACAAAGCAAAATCCCCAAATCCGACCACCCACATAACAAAACAAACAAATATCAACAAACAAGAGCCAGGGCACGTTGGTGGGGCAGCCTCTGGAGAACTTAATTATTGAGCTAAATACGTGGCGGTTTGTAGTTGTTCTTTCTGCATCTATTATTAATTTGTTTCTTAGGAGACTGGTTTCATGTAGCCCAGGCTGGCCTGGAACTCAAACGTAGCAGAGAACAACTGTGAACTGATATGTCTCCACCTCCCCAGGACTGGAAGGGCTGTCTTGGGTTACTGTGCCCTGTGTATGTGGTACTGAGGACTCTAGGGTCCCCTGCTTGTTAGGCAAGCACCCTACCCAGGCTCACTGATATATTTGATGGACATTCCTAGGATACACTATTAAATTTCCTAATTGACTATTACGCAATGGTGGGCTAGTATGCATGGTGTCCTTGACTCAAACCCTAGCACTACAAAAAGAAGAATGGTTCTAGCCAAGGAGTTTGGTGTGTGTGTGTGTGTGTGTGTGTGTGTGTGTGTGTGTGTGTGTGTATGTGTGCACGTGCACACACGTGTATGCCAAACAACACATGTGGAGGTAGGAGGACAACTTTGGTTTGTTAGTTCTCTCCTTCCACCATGTAGGTTCTAGGGATCAAACTCAGGCTGTGAGATTTGGCAGCAAGCTCCTTCATCCAATGAGCCATCTCATTGGCCCCGGAACCCAGTGTTTTGGGGGTTTGCTTTTTATTGTTACTTTTTTGGGTTTGGGACATACGTGTGGGTGGAAATCAAAGCCCAACTTGTGGGTATTGGTTTTCTCCCTCTATCATAGGGGTCTTAGGTCTTGAACTCAGATGTCAAACTTGGCAGTAAGCACCCGTATTTGTGGAGCCCTCTTAACAGCCTGAATCCAGGTTTTTGCGTGTGCAAAAACTGAGTATCACTATGTAAGCTCTGGCTGTCCTGGGATTAAAGGTGTGTGCCACCACTGCCCAACTCTTCACCTTAGTTTTTTTTTTTTTTTTTTTTTGGTTTTTCAAGACAGGGTTTCTCTATGGTTTTGGAGCCTGTCCTGGAACTAGCTCTTGTAGACCAGGCTGGACTCGAACTCACAGAGATCCGCCTGCCTCTGCCTCCCGAGTGCTGGGATTAAAGGCGTGCGCCGCCACCGCCCGGCTTCACCTTAGTTTTTGAGACGTGACTTCTCACTGAATCTGGAGCTCTTGGGTTCAGCAAGGCTGACTGGCCAGTGCGCCTGAAGCTCTCCTTGTCTTGGCCTGCCCAATGCTGGGACTACAAGCATTACCACTGCACATGGCTTTTATTATTATTATTCTTTATTTTTATTGAGCTATGCATTTTTCTCCACTCAACTCCCTTCCTCCCCAACTCTCCTTTTACCCTCTCCCGTGACCCCAGTGCTCCCAATTTACTCAGGAGATCTTGTCTTTTTCTCCTTCCTATGTAGATCCATGTATGTCTCTCTTAGGGTCCTCTTTGTTATCTAGGTTCTCTGGGGTTATGAACTGTAGGTTGGCTTTTCTTTGCTTTATGTATAGAAGCCACTTACGAGTGAGTTCATAGTATATTTGCCTTTCTGGGTCTGGGTTACCTCATTCAACATGTTTTTTTCTAGATCCATCTATTTGTCTGCAAATTTCAAGACGCCATTTTTTTAACCGCTGTAGTACTCTTATGTAAATGTACCACATCTTCTTTATGCACCTGGCTTCTTATGTGGGTGTTGGGATCTGAACTCAGTTCCTCACGCCTGCACAGCAAGCATTTTACTGCCTGATCCACCTCCCAGTTTCTTAGTCCTTTTTAATATCTACTTTGAGACAGAGCTTTGCAAAGTTTAAGTTTCTCAGGCTAGCCCTGTGCTTACCATACAGCCAGGCAGGCCTCCTGATTGTATTGCTCCTGTGTCTCCTGCTGGCATAACTGAGATTGCAGGCCTGTGCCACCATACCCTATGCCCACGTTTTCTTTATTCATTCATCTGTCAAAGGACACCTCAGTTGACATCACATACTGGCTGCC